TAAGCCTCATGATTGACAAATTAGGGGAAAAAAAAGTCTCATGGGCTTTCCTGCTTAGGCTAGCTTCAAACCACGATCTTAAAGCCTCAACCTCATGAGTAGCTAGGATTATAGGCATGAGACACTGGCACCCAGTTTTTACTTAAATCAAATCATGTCACTCTCCTATTCCCAACCTTCTTTTTTCAGAAAAAAAAGCCAAAGTCCTCACCATCGTTTAAGGGGCCCCACCTTGGTTAGTGGTTCTTAAACTCTTCTAGAGGGCCTATTTGATGCAGGAACCTCTGGCCCTAGCCCCTGACTCAGCCGGCCTGGGCTTATATCCTCCTTCTCTAAGGGGCAGAAATTCCACAGAGCAGTGGGAGCCAAGCACAGAGAACTCTCTTCCCCACGGCAATAACTATAGGGCTGTCTGCCTGCCAACAGTGGGAACAGGCATCTAACATCTTTCTCAGCTCCCATTTTCCCTCACAAGACAACAATCAGCTAGCATTAGTGGAATTTCTCAGTGTGGCGAGAGCAATAGAAGGAGCAGCTTGCAAACCCAGGGGGAACCTATGTGCATGCTCAGATTTGGCCCTTGGATCAGCTTTGTAGTGTAAAGTCTGAACAGTGACCCCTCCCTCCCTCTTGGCTAAGTTTCTGTCCAGTATCTGTTACCTAGGTAACTGGCAGACCTGGAAGCAGTCACCTCCCCCCCCCCCCCCCAGGTCACATGCCTCCTACCTGACCTTAGGAGGGTTTCAGACCCTGAGGTCACATCCAGATCCAGTGTGGCCACACCTTTCCCTCACCTGGCCACACCTCTTCCTGTCCCTGGCCTAGATAAGTCCTGGCCCAGAGGTGGGTTCCCAACCCCCCTTCCTTTTTAGTTATGCTTCTCCACCATGCATGGCGTGGGGGGGGGGGGGGCAGCAGTTCGGTAAATAAACTTCTTTTCCTGCCTGAATAGCATGTGGCGTATAGCACGTGGCGTTCTCTTCATGGGCTACCTAATGAAACCTACCTATTTAATATACCTTACCTGTAGAAAAGCAGAATTCTCCACAATAGTCTTGAAGTAACCAGAGAAATAAACAAATCCTATCCATTGTTGTTACACTATGTTACACTGTATCTTTTTAAATGTTCTATTTCTATTAAAAATGATCAGGTATGCAAAGAGATAGTAATCTTGACAACAAGGGAAAAAGGTGGCTTTTGTGAGTGAGGCCAGATATCAGATGGAATAGATTTCAAATTACTAAGATAATAATAGTAACAACAACAACATACAACAAATACAGTCTGTTAGAGGATAAACCCAGTGGTAGACGTAGGGAAACTAGTGAAGGTGATTGAATAAAACATGTTCATTAAAAAGTGCAAACATCCCTACAGTTGGTGGCTCATGCCTGTAATTCCAGCTTCTCAAGAGGTTGGGATCTGAGGATCAGGGATTAAAGCCATCTGGGACAGGAAAATCCCTGACACTTTAATCTCTAACAAACTAATCAAAACGCTGGAAATCGAGGTGTGGTTCAAGTGGTAGAGAGCAATCCTTGGGCCAAAAAACAAAGCTTAAGGACAGGGCCAAGACAACGGCAAGCGTATACATTAGTTATATACTTAGTATTTCATGGTGACATTTTCATACATGTTTATAATGCAGTATCATTGCTTTGTTACTCTCCCTTCATCATGTTGTAAAATAGTTTCAACACGTTTCATTGTTTTATCATGCATGCAAATGATCAATTTTGACTATGTTTATTTTCTTTCTGTCAAAGTACTATACAAGCATTTATAAAAACAGAGCAATGAAATCTGTTGAAATTATTTTATGAAGGAGGGGGGATGAGGAAGAATTATTGAGTGAGTTCAATGAAGTAAACTGTATTCTTGTATTAAAATGTCACTATGAAACTCCCTGTACAACTAACATATTTTAATAAAAATATTTGTAAAAAAGAACTGTTGTTAGTCAATATTCTACTTAAATGGTGGAACCATATGTATTTATGCCCTAAAATCAGCAACAAGTTAAAGATATCTACTCTCACCACTTTTTAAAAAAAACTTATTTATTTACTTATTTATTGGGTCCGGTCATGGGGCCTGAACTCTGGGCCTGGGTGCTGTACCTCAGCTCTATCAGCTCAAGGCTAGTGCTCTACCACTTGAGCCACAGTGCCACTTCTGGTTTTTTTCTTATGTGGTACTGAGGAATCGAACCCAGGGCCTCAGGCACACAAGGTGAGCGCACTACCACTGAGCTACCTTCCCAGCCCTATTCTCACCACTTTTAAGTTGCACTGTACAGCAGTAGCTAACAAGGTCAATTTGACGACAGAAATCTAAGTATCTATGTAGATAGGAAGGAATGTAATTATCTTTTGTGCTGATAACATTATCTTTTAATTTGTGCCATCCGGGGGCTAGAACTCTGGGACCACACGCTCTCTCAGAGCGTTTTTACTAAGGCTAGAGCTCTACCACTTTAGCTGCAGCTCCACTTCTGGCTTTTTGGCGGTTAACTGGAAATAAGATTCTCATGTACTTTCCTGCCCAGGCTAGTTTCCAACTGCAATCCTCAGAAATCAGCCTCAAGAGTAGCTAGGATTATAGGCAGCAGCCACTGTGTCTCCCAAAGCTAATATTATCTTTTATTTAGAAAATCACAAGAATTTACTACAAATTATTATAGTCAATAACTGAGTTCAATGAAGTAACAGGATAAAATATTCATTTACAAAATAAGTGGGCTTATATATGTGAGCAATGAACAATTTAAAAATAATGTAGGGAGTCCATTCTATTTACACTTGTATAAAAATAAAATCACTTAGGGCTGGGAAGGTGGCTTAGTGGTAGAGTGCTTGCCTTGCATGCATGAGGCCCTGGGATCGATTCCTCAGCACCACATAAACAGAAAAAGCCAGAAGTGGCGCTGTGGCTCAAGTGGCAGAGTGCTAGCCTTGAGCAAAAGCAGCTTAGGAACAGTGCCCAGGCCCTGAGTTCAAGCCCCAGGACTGGCAAACAAACAAATCCTTAGAAATAAATGTATCAAAAATGTAACCTTAAAAAATGAAAACTACACTATACAGCTAGTCTTGAAAGCTCCCCAGTTTTACTTGATCCTTATCTCCTTGCCTCTGAGGAATTTACTTTCAAATTTTACAGAAAGAAATTATTACTTATGGGCTGGGAAGGTGGCTCAGTGGTAGAGCGCTTGCCTTGCATGCATGGGGCCCTGGGTTCAATTCCTCAGCACCAGATAAGCAAAAAGAAAAAAGCTGGGAGTGGCGCTGTGGCTCAAGTAGTAGAGCCCTAGCCTTGAGCTGAAGGACAGCGCCCAGGCCCAGAGTTCAGGCCCCACGACTGGACACACATACACAAAAGAAATTATTACTTTTTTCCTTTATATTACTATACGTGCTCTCAAATTGAAGTTTATACATACAAATAGGTCCCATGATTTCCATTTTTTATGAGGAATAGGTCAGGTTCACAAAAAGAGGCATAGAGAACCCATACACTTGACTGAATATCAGGCATGAAAGTTTTCTACCCAGTTCTTACCAATCATGTTGTATATAGTGGATCATCCAAAATGACAGGAAACCTTTAAGAGAGAAGTACGGGATCTAAGATATGAGGGAGGGAGACAATATATTTATTCCACAGTCTAATGGATAAGATCTGGTAAGACAAGTCTGTGGTCTCTTAGATATGTAGCCTAGAGTTATTGAGAGGAACTTTTAGGATCAGAGAAGAGGTAGGAATTCAAAACAAAGTAAGGCATGCAAAATGGAAAAAACAAAACAGACTAGATTGGAGTAAGTGATAAAGCTCATCAACATAGACTTTCCCTAAACTTCACTCCTCTGCCCAAATCCACATTCACTCTGATCCCCCCCAAACCACCATCTCTTTGAAGAGCAATGGAGGCGATGCATCTTATTCTAAGAAACTTCTGTGAGGAAACTTTTTACTAGTCAGTTTTTTTTTTTTTGGGTCCAGTCATGGGGCCTGAACTCTGGGCCTGGGCGCTGTCCCTCAGCTCTTCAGCTCAAGGCTAGCGCTCTACCACTTGAGCCACAGCACCATCCGGCTTTATTCTTTATGCTTACAATGGTGCTGAGGAATCGAACCCAGAGCCTCAGACATGCAAGGCAAGCGCTCTACCACTGAGCCACCTTCCCAGCCCCGAAACTTTTCACTAGTTAGCTGAAGAAGTAAAGCACAGCAAAGGCGCACAGACAGTGCTCAACATTTGAGTTCAAGCCACGGGACCAACAGCAAAAAGAAAGAAAGAAAAAAAAAAACCTTTAAAAGGAAAGGCAATATTTAGAAACAAATAACCATACACATCTTAAGATTTCATGGATGGAATTTGGGAGTTTTGGGGAAATTAATTGTTCGATTTTGAGAAATCTAAATTGACAGGAGGCTTATACTGCCTAGTTATCTAACAATCCTGCTATTTTATTCCAGTGTGTACATTAGAGCCTTGGAAAATGATTCAAGAATCAGTTGACTGGAGGTAAAAGCCAGCTTACCCAATGCTCCCTCCCAGTACATTCCCATTTTCTGGTTGGTCTCACAATGTTTCAGGAGGCACGCAGTGATTTTCAAAACAAAACTCATCTTACCTCCCGCAGCTTGGAGAGCAGTCCAAATGCACCGACTGCCAGGACCTAGGGTCGGGGACGGGTCACACCCCCGCTACAATTCCGTTGCTTCCAGAACGGCGCGGTGCATTGTGGGAGTTGTAGTCTCCACTGGAGAAAAGATCCTCTGAAAGTGTGGGTTTGGGGGAGAAAGAGACAGAGAGAGAGATAGATAGACAGACAGACAGACAGACACAGAGAGAGATAGAGACAGCGAGAGAAAGAGAGAGAAAAAGAGCGAGCAGAGGCCGGAAGATCCCTTTTGCGCATGCGCCTTCCCGCCCACGGTGGGCGTGTTCAGTCTGCAAATTCCGGTTTGCTTCCTTCTCGCTTGCTGCTGCTGGAAATGCTCTGAAGAACAGCTTTGCAGCCCGCAGTTCGAGCTCCGGGGCTGGCGCCCGGCCTCTCTCCGGTGGACCTGCGGGGCTGTAAGTTGAGGGGATCTCATGCTGCAGTGGCGATATCAGGTACGAATTGTGAGCTGGGCTCGGGACCAGAGTCCACCATCCACGTGTTCCTCGGGTCTGCGCTTGATGATTTGCTTGGGGTTCGTGAGTTTGTGCTGCCATTAATTAGCCCGTGTGCCTGCAGATGCCACAATCTGGCTCCCGAGCTCCGAGAGCAAGTTGGGGGTTTCTGCAGACCAGGAGAGTCAGGAGCTGTGCATTTATAGTCCATGTTCAAGAGGTTTTGCTGTTAACCTATGTGACTCGATTCACTTTCCCTCGCTGCAAGAAGAGCACGGTAACCATTCTAGTGAAATTGTGAAGTGTGTGCCTGCCTGGAGCCCTCTTACAGTGCAAGGGACTCTGCGTTGTTTCTCCTGGAGCGGTCTCCACTTTGCTCCCTCCTGTCTTGTTAGCCTCCTTAGCACTCCTGGCTTGAGTTCATATGTGTTTGTACATAACCTTGTTTCTAGAGACAGTTCTACATGGTGTATTAGTGTTTGATGGTTCTAGTTTTTTGTTTTTTAAGATCGTGGGGCTTGAACTCTGGGCCTGGACGCTGTCCCTCAGCTCTTCAGCTCAAGGCTAGCGTGCTACCACTTGAGCCACAGCATCACTTTTGGTTGTCTAGTGGTTAATTGGAGATAAGAGTCTCATGAACTTTCCTTCCCCGGGCTGGCTCTTCACCACGATCCTCAGATCTCAGCCTCCTGAGTAGTAAGGGTTACAGCCATGAGCCACCGGTGCTGGGCAATGGTCTTGTATTTTTAGGGATGAATGAAGTCTAGTAATGTTTGAAGGAGGGCACCCTATGAATAGACCTTGTCTATTCTGACAAGTCCTACAGAGCAGAGGCAGAAAAGCTCAGGAAGGGGAAGATGTTTTTACCTTCCCTTGCCTTACACAATAATTGGTTCTACTTCCCAGAGCACGAGATTTACATGATGCTGTTTCCTCCAACACTCTTGATCACTTGGTGCTGTTGGAACGTTTAGACTAACTTTCTGGAGAGGAGAGGGGTTGGCCTGAGGAATGAGGGAAAGCCTAGTTATCAGAGAGGACATGAAGCTGTGGTTTGAAATGGAGAGATAACTATCATAACTGAAAGTATCTGTCTATGTACTAATCCCTAATCCTATTCTCACAAATTTATTCAGCCTCTTCCCACCATCATGTCTAGTACATGATCTCTCAAACTTATCCTAAATGTCTCATCTATGGATTTGCTAATGCTAGCTCTAACATGTTAGTTCTTTCTGGCAGTTCAGGAAGTGTTGGTCAGGAATCTTTGGCCTAAGAAAAGTTGCAGAAGTAAACTTGAGGTAATATATCCTGCTCAAGGTTGTAGGCTTTGTAGATGCTACATATCCTGCAGTTTTAGCTAGTGTTATCCATTTTGCCATATTCTGCTGAAAGAAGTATTATTTCACTTAGGAAATTCTTTTTGGAAATTGAAGTCAAGGAAACAGAAGCATTTCTTTTTTTTTTTTAATTTTATTTTTTTGTCAGTCGTGGGTAGGGCTTAAACTCTGGGCCTGGGTGCTGTCCCTCAGCCCTTCAGCTCAAGGTGAGCACTCTACTGCTTGAGCCACAGCGTCACTTCTGGTTTTCTAGTGGTTTATTGGAGATAAGAGTCTCATGGACTTTCCTGCCTGGGCTGGCTTTGAACCACGATCCTCAGATCTCAGCCTCCTGAGTAGCTAGGATTACAGGTGTGAGTCACTGGTGCCCGGCAGCATTTCTTGAAAATATATTAAACATGTTGATCCAATTTTTACACTCTGTACTTCTTATACCTTTTGCAAATCCATGTTAATAACATGGATATACTACACTTTATTCATCTCTTCTTGACAAATTACAATTCCTCCACTATAATAATGAGCCTATTTTACATCACTTAAAATGAGAGACTAGCTGGGTGCTGGTGGCTGATGCCTGTAATCCTAGCTACTCAGGGGGCTGAATCTGAGGATGGAGGTTCAAAGCCAAAAAAGTCCGTGAAACTGTTATCTCCAGTTAACCACCAGAAAACGGAAGTGATGCTGTGGCTCAAGTGGTAGAGTGGTAGCCTTTAGCTGAAGAGCTCAAGGATAGTACCCAGGCCCAGAGTTCAAGCCCCAGGACTAACAGAGAGAGAGAGAGAGAAGGAGAGAGAGAGAAAGGGAGGGAGGAGACTGCCTAAAGGTATATTCCAAACAATTGATAAAATATATTTTAGGGGTTGTGAAGGTGGCTCAGTGGTAGAGCACTTGCCTTGCATGCTCGAGGCCCTGGGTTCGATTCCTCAGCACCACATAAAAAAAAAGCCAGAAGTGGCGCTGTGTGGCTCAAGTGGTAGAGCGCTAGCCTTGAGCTGAAGAGCTGAGGGACAGCGCCCAGGCCCAGAGTTCAGGCCCCACGACCGGACCCAAAAAAAAAAAAAAAAAAAAAAAATATATATATATATATATATATATTTTTTTTAAATACAATACAGTGCTCTTTTTCTGTGTGCTAGTCCTGGTTCTTGAGCTCAAGGTCTGGGAACTGACCCATGAGCTTCTTTTGCTGAAGGCAAATGTTCTACCACTTAAGCCATGTCTCTAATTATAGCTATTTTTGATATTTTAATGGAGATCAGAGTCCTCAGACTTTCCTGCCCCAGCTTGCTTCAATCTGGGATCAGTTATAGCCATGAGCCATCAGAGCTCAATTACAATATCCTCTTTTAAATTCAGATTATATTTCTAATAAAATAATCTGAAAGCCGGGCGCTGGTTGCTTTACGCCTAGCAACTCAGGAGGCTGAGATCTGAGGATTGCGGTTCAAAGCCAGCCCATACAGGAACATCTATGCCTCCATCAGAAAGAATGACATCGCCCCATTTGTTAGGAAATGGAAAGACTTGGAAAAAATTATATTAAGTGAAGTAAGCCAGGCCCAAAGAAACATAGGTCCCCTTGTTTTCCTTATTTGCAATAGCTAGTATATGTCTGGGACAAGTAGAAAAGGTCAAAAGCTTGTACATATGACCAGATAAGATGAAGTTAAGCGAAATGAACTCCAAGATAGGGACACAAGTAGTTTTTTCTTTCTTGTTATTGTTTCTAACTTATGACATCCATGAGACTCTTATCTCCAATAAATCACCAGAAAGCTGGAAGTGGCTCTGTGGCTCAAGTGGTACAGCACTAGCCTTGAGCTGAAGAGCTAAGGGACAGCGCCTAGGCTCTGAGTTCAAGCCCCACGACCGACCAAAAATAAAAAATCTGAAATAGCAAACTTCAAGTTTTTAAGGAGTGATGTTCAGTCATTACTGTTTATAAGGACAGTCCTGTAATAACCAGCAGGGGCTGAAGGCCTCCCCCAACATTGCCCCTTGGGCCAGCCCTCCTCCCTCCAGTAGCAGTTGGGCTTGGGAGGAATAGCCGTTGGAGTGGGGGCAGGGCCAATGGGAGGACTAGCCGTTGGAGTGGGGGCAGGGGCACAGCCTATATATAGGCTGCGTGCTCCAAGGAAAGGGGTGGTGGAGAATACAGAAGAGGACAAAAGCAGAAGCAGCAGCCTGAGAGAAGGCAAGAGGCCTGAGGCCTGTGGGAAGGTGAGAAACCTTTGGAGCGGCCTTCTGGAAGGCAAGAAGCCTGAAGCCTGTGGTGAGGTCTGCAAGAAGATGAGAGTCCTGGAGGGCTGTACAGAAGGAGGAAGGGAGGAATAAAGATCAAGGTTGCCCCTTTGGAGGCTTGGAGGGTTTGCAGACTGACTAATGGGAGGTGTGTGTGGCTGTCCTTTGGAGGTTTGGAGGTCGAGCCTGCCCTTGGTTCTAGGTAGCTAGCCCAGGGCAAGGTAGTCGCAGGTCCCTTTCTAGTGTAAATAAAATTCTTTTGTCACTTTTAACTGTGCCTCTGTGGATTGTCTCGATTCAGGGTCACAATGTTCCAAATCCCAAATGAAAAAGAAAATATTCCACCCTGAAATCTGTAACACTCCTTGTTTCAAGTATTGTGATTATGGACACTTAGCCTATAATAAAATCTTAAGTCTTTTTTCAGAGTAAGAAAACATTCCTGTGATGTAGAAAAACCCAATACTAATGTGCAAACATTGCTTTTAATAATTCCTGTTATCTTTTCTAGCAAAAACAACCTCACTGAAGTCTACAGAGTAGTTTTTCAGTTTTTGTAGATGCCACTGTAAAGTTCATATTTTATTGTAAGAGTTTCCATTCTATGAAATTGTGTCAGAAACAAAGCAGAACTGTGGGTAATAGCATTTTCCTGTGTAATAAATTAACCAACAAGCATAAGCAAAAGCACATAGGTATTTATTTGTTTTAAGTTTTATGGATATACATTTTGGGGTGTCCTCAGCTTGGTATTTTGTGTTAATATTGTTTAAGTAACATAAGATTTTAATCTTCTGGTTCTTTGGCTCAGGAGGGTTGGTTGGGATTATGTCACTCTTATGAGTAGTATTTCTTGTTGCATATTTATTACGACCTGTGTCTCCAGCAGGATTGCCAAAGTTTTTCATATGACTGTTTAGGAAAGTGAGCATTATGGACTTCTCAAACCATCATCTTTACTGATGTCTCTTTGGCCAGAGCAGGTTAAATGGCAAATTTCAAGTCATTGCACAATGGTCCTCTGAGCATTTGGATATAGGGAAATGTGTCAGTGGCAACTGTTATTAAAAGATTATAACACAAGAAGTATGTATTATATATATTTTTCCTGTATAAGTTGGGGTGAAAAATACTGAGTTATAGTATACATGTTCTCCATGGTGTTTAAAAATGTAAATGAAGTAGGTAGAGTACAAATGCTCAATGGAGTCCTAGGATACCTTTGCTTTAAAACAAAAATAGTTCATACATCCCTAAGTATATTTCAGTAGTAACTAGTTTTAGTGAAGATGTGATTTTTTTGTTTCAGTTATTTTTATGCGAACATTAGCTTTTATGAATTTTCTATGTATATTAACCCAGAAATGCTTTGCTTTTATAATATCTATTTTCCAACTAATGAACTGTGGATTCATCTTTTTTTTTTTCGGTCATGGGGCCTGAACTCTGGGTCTGGACGTTGTCCCTCAGCTTTTCAGCTCAAGGCTAGTGCTCTACCACTTGAGTCACAGCACCACTTCCAGCTTTTTTTGCTTATGTCGTGCTGAGGAATTGAACCCAGGGCCTCATGCATGCAAGGCAAACACTCTACCACTAAGCCACCTTCCCAGCCCTGTGAATTCATCTTTAATGGAGGTTTTAATGTTCTACTTGAGACATTAAAAGATTCTTCTCCAATAAGAAGACTATGTTTTTCCAGCCCATGTATAATGTTTTGAGAGGAAAATCTGGGGCAAAATCACATAGGTCCTTTCCTGACTACCTCGTTTGCTTTCTCAGCCATGCTTCCAGAATCTTCTGTTCATTGTCAACCGTCGGAAATAATGAAAGGATTGCTGGTGAGTTGCTTTTTATTTGTCGCTTTGTTTTACATTCTATTTTATGAGCCTAAGGATGTCCAAGACTTGAAAAACAGAAAAACAGATTCAGCTTTAGGATCATGTTCATGAATATAGCATGTAGATTTAGGAGATTATAAAATCTTACCTTCTGTCTAATTTGAATCCAGACTTGCATAAGATTTTTTCTGTTTTTTTTCTGATGTGAGAAAAAATAGTCCCACTTTTTATGTTATTCAGTGACATCAAGGAGTTGACTTCTCATGGAAGGTGAAGGTTCACCAGCAATGGGTCAGAGATAACATTGTCATGAGTTTAACAAACTATCTTAATGAAGTTTTACTGGAGTTGCTGAAATAGTGTGGGCACACACTTATTGGAATGTTCTAGAAGACTGAGTCACCTATATGCTCCTCAGTTCTCCATACATCTTTTTTTTTTTGCCAGTCCTGAGGTTTGAACTCAGGGCCTGGGTACTGTCACTGAGCTTTTTTTGCTCAAGGCTAGCACTCTACCACTTGAGCCATAGCACCACTTCTGTTTTTTTCTGTTCATGGGGTACTGAGGAATTGAACATAGGGCTTCATGCATGTTAGGCAAGCATTCTACCACTAAGCCACATTCCCAGCCCTATACATACTTCTTGGACTGCTTTTTGGTCTTTGTTTTACTTGAAACTTATGCTATATTTGATGATACAGTATATGGTCTTTCTAGAAATCTGTCCATTTCATTCTAAGGTATCTTCACAAGACTTTTTTTCTTAAATTTCCTTTCCATTCTGTTTCCTGCTCACTAGCTTTCTTTATTTCTCTCTTTGTATCTATTTTTATCTGTATTTTTTTTTTCTCTTTCTTTTTCTCGGTCCCTATTCCTTCCACCTGTCTCTCATTTTTTACTTTTCTTCAAATGCTCCATCTGGGAACCTGTTTTTCTTTTTTCTTTTTTTTTAATTGTGAAAATACCATACAGAGGGGTTACAATTACATGGGCAAGGTAATGAGTACATTTCTTATCAAACATTGTTGCCTCCTCCTTTGTTTCTCCTTCCCATCCCTTCTCATCTCCCAGGAACCTTTTTTTCTTACTGATCAATTTGCCTTTACTGACGTGACACTTAGAGTTGACATTTTTTTTTACCTATTAAATAGCAAAGTTGTTGTTGACTATAACCCAAGGCAGTTCTGTGGGATTCCAAAACCAAAGAAAATTAGAAAAACACAAGGACATATGCAGGTAGTGAGATGGGGGGAAATTAATAACCCCAAGGCATACTAGCACTTGGGCACCAGTACCCACAAGCAAGCTTGAGTTTACACAGGGAAAGTTACCATGGATACATGTGAAAAAGCATCTATATTAATATTATAATCTGAGCTAAAACAGAGATACTTGTTCCCTTGTTCTTTTGAGAGGAGACTGCAGCCCAGAGAAAGTCAAGACAAGAAGTCCACCTTACCTAGCTTTCAAGGTCAACAGCTCCCAAGGTTCAATTCCCAGCCTTTCCATCACTAAGGAAGGAGTGTGGCACTCCTTAACCCTCTATACTGTTGTCTGTTTTAACCCTTCAGTGGCCAGCTCTCAGCATAATGAATGCTGTTGGCATGGAGTTCCAACCTCTCAATCCTTTTCCACTTTTTGCTCAACTTCAGAATTCCCTACAGAACATTACTACCTTCTACCCATTGATACACAGCCAAAAAAATTGATTTTTTTCCCATTCTATTGTTTTTGGTCTAAACTCAATTGATGTGGTGCTGTAATTTTTTTCTTCTCCCTCCATTTGAATATTTTCATTCACTGCCATTATAGGAGAGAAGCTGGTTTTGATAATAAACAATACAATGACTAGGTTTTTTTTTGGGGGGGGTGTCGGTCATGGGGCTTGAACTCTGGACTTGGGCGCTATCCCTGCGCTCTTCAGGCCAAGGTGAGCACTCTACTGCTTGAGCCACAGTGCCACTTCTGGTGTTCTAGTGGTTTATTGGAGATAAGAGTCTCATGGACTTTCCTGCCCTGGCTGACTTTGAACCGGGATCCTCAGATCTCAGCCTCCCGAGTAGCTAGGATTATAGGCATGAGCTACTGGTGCCCGGTGTGACTAGATTTTTTAATATTTCAAATATCACTGGTGACAAAATCTCACAAACATTTGCTCAGTCATAGACATTTCAGGAGGGAGAGGAGGCGGGATCCTGGTGTGGGTTCCTCCTGGGCCCGGCCCCAGTGTGGTGGTGCGGTGCGAGCTAACATGTGTGGTAATGTATCCTTAGAAATCTACTGGGAGAAATGATTCAGGAGTATGTGACACACTTGAACAATAGTGAAAAGATGTAAAAAACTGAAAGCAAGATTCACAGATTATAATAATTTGTATCTTTTATCCATGTGTGTTTGTTATTAATGCTATTTGTAGTGTATGTTTCCAGTTAAAAACTATTTTAATATGTTTCCAAACACTTTTAATTTGGTATTGCAATAGGAAAAATAGATATGTCACTGATATCTGATAAAATTCACAGAATCTAAAATTTGATTTTTCCACATTCCTTTTGAAGACAGGTCTTGCTGTGTAGTCCAGAACTCTCTTGAATTTATGTCACCTAGCCTGGCTGGTGACCTAGTCCTTCTTGAGTTTCTCAAGTTTAGGGAGTATAGGTGTGTTCTATCCTCTGTAGCTACATTAGCCATTCTTTTTTTGGGGGGGGGGTCTGGTCATGGGGCCTGAACTCTGGGCCTAGGCGCTGTCCCTCAGCTCTTCAGCTCAAGGCTAGTGCTCTACCACTTGAGCCACAGCACCACTACCGGCTTTTTTCTTTTTGCTTATGTGGTGCTGAGGAATCGAACCCAGGGCCTCAGGCAAGGCAAGCACTCTACCACTGAGCCACCTTCCCAGCCCGCATTAGCCATTCTTAAATGTACAATTCACTGATATTACCTATGCCCATATTGTACGGCCATCCCTTCCATCCATCTACAGCATTTTTCATCTTGTACGTGTGAAGCTGTATAATCATTAAATAGGCAGCTCCTCTTCCCCCTGTACCAGTCACTGGAACCATCTTACTTTTTTGCTCTCTGAGTTTGTTGATCCTTGGAAGCTCATTAAAGGAAATCATACCATGGCTGTTCATTAAAAACTCGTGGATTTTATTTAGCACATTGCATTCAAGTTTCATCCCTGTTGTAAAATTTTCTCCTTTTTTTTTTTTTTTTTTTATTGTAAAGCTACTATACAGAGGGTCACAGTTACATGAGTGAGGTTATGAGTACACTTCCTCTTGAACATTGTTACCCCCTCCATTGTTTTCCCCCTACCATCCCCTCCCTCCCTCCCTTCCCCGAGGTTCTTTTTTTTTTTTTTTTGATTGTGATTAAATGATTACATAATTTCAAAGTCACAAGTTCATTCTAACTTCCCTGGAGCAAATTGTCTACCACAGTCTGTAATATATAACAGTGTTCACATGTTATATACCATATTTGTGATCAGCAGCATGAGGATATTTAGTAGTGGTTCAATCAGATGAGCGGGAGTTCTTTGTTTCTTAAGTCCTGTTAGTTTTGTCGTATCACCTAACCTTTTGGATTTAGCATCCACTTATGAGGGAGACCATGTACCGTTTGTCTCTTCGTTCTTGGCTTACCTCGCTCAACATGATTCCTTCTAGCTCCATCCATTTCCCTGCAAATGCCATTATTTTGTCATTTCTAATGGCTGCATAATATTCCATTGTGTATAGATACCACAATTTTTGGATCCATTCATCTGTGGTGGGGCACCTAGGTTGTTTCCATATCCTAGCTATTGCGAACAGTGCTGCAATAAACATGGAGGTGCACGTGTCCTTGTATATTGGTTCCTGTTGTTCAGGGTAGATGCCTAGAAGTGGTATGACTGGGTCGTAAGGGAGGTCAATCTTTAGCTTTCTAAGGACCCTCCAGACTGCTTTCCAAAGTGGTTGTATAAGTGTACATTCCCACCAGCAGTGTAATAGGGTTCCTCTTTCTCCACATCCCCTCCAGCATTTGTCGTTGGCTGATTTGTGGATGTGGGACATTCTGACTGGGGTAAGGTGGTATCTCAGGGTTGTCTTTATTTGCATTTCCTTCACCACCAGGGATGATGAACATTTCCTCATGTGTTTCTTTGCCATTTTTATTTCTTCATTTGAGAAGTCCCTCTTTAGTTCCCTTGCCCATTTAGTAATTGGTTTGTTAGGTTTGGGAGGGATTAGTTTCTTGAGTTCCCTGTATATACAGGATGTTAACCCCTTGTCTGATATATTGCTGGTAAATATTTTTTCCCAATTAGTTGGTTGTCTTTCTAGCTTAGTTGCGATAGATTTAGCTGTGCAGAAGCTTTTTATTTTAAGGTAGTCCCATTTGTCGAGTCTCTCTCCAACTTGTTGTGACCCTGGGACTCTGTTCAGGAAGTTCCTTCCTGTGCCTATTAGTTCAAGTGTCTCTCCTACTCTGTCCTGCAGTAGTTTCAGAGATTCAGGTTTAATGTTAAGGTCTTTAATCCATTTTGAGTTGATGTTGGTGCATGGTGATAGGCTGGGGTCCACTTTTAGTTTTCTGCATGTGGCTGCCCAGTTTTCCCAGCACCAGCGGTTGAAGAGGCTGTGTTTCTTCCATTGTATGTCTTTGGCTACTTTGTCGAATATCAGCTGGCTGTAGGCCTGTGGATTTATATCTGGATCTTCTATTCTGTTCCATTGGTCTTCGGGTCTGTTTTTGTGCCAGTACCATGCTGTCTTTGTGATTATAGCTCTGTAGTAGAGTTTGAAGTTCGGCATGGATAGCCCTCCCATATTGTCTTTATCCCCTAGAATTGTTTTGGCTATTCTAGGTCTTTTGTTGTTCCATATAAATTTTTGGACTGTTTTCTGTATTTCAGTGATGTACGTCATTGGGATTTTAATAGGAATTGCATTGAATTTGTATATTAATTTTGGAAGTATCACCATCTTTACTATATTAAGTCGGCCTATCCA